GAAACATAGTGATAGAATATTCTAAGTCTGGATATTCTAAGAACGTATCCTCCAATTCTGGTAATTTTTTTTAAAGACCAGCACAGTTAGCAATACTATTTATAAAGAAGACATAAGGATGTGTATTCATAAATAGACAAAAATGAACTAGTGCTATTCCAATGTGAGGTTGAATAGTTATCTAAATTTAACATCTTGGAGTTTACACAGGAAGATTTGTTCAGTTCTTGTGGTACCAAGGGATCTCTTAAGTAGACTGGCATTTAACAAAAACGCAAGGCTGGCATTGTGGTATAGCAGGTAAAGCCACCACCTGCAGTGCTGGCAGCCCATATGGGCATCAGTTCCAGTCCCGGCTGCTCCTCTTCCAATCCAGCCGCCTGCTAACGCACCTGAGAAAGCAGCAGAGGATGACACAAGTGCTTGGGCCCTTGCACCTGCGTGGGAGACCAGAGGAAGTTCCTGGCTCCTGGCTTCAGCCTGGACCAGCGCTGGCCATTACGGCCATTCAGGGAATGAACCAGAGGATGGGAGATCTCCCTCTCCGTAACTCTTTGAAAATGGATAAATGGATCTTTAAAAGAAAATGCACACACGGTCACTGATGTTACCTTCCGATTCTGGCTGTAACCTGTGCCGCGCGCGTGCCATGCTGAGGCCTGCCTTTCGGTCCACACCCCCGCAGCCCTTCTCGCCTCCCTGCGGCCATTGCGGAGGCTTCTCTGGTGCAAAGACTGACGCTCCCTCTGGTCAGTGGAGGACAGTCTTGCCACTGGGCTTGTTTGGATCGCCATTGGATCATCCGTCTGATGTCTCCCTGGCCAGTTGCAAAGTATGCTTTCCTAGGCTTCCTGTCCTTGCAGCCAGGCTCACTGGGCGTTTCGAGTCTGCAAAGCAGTCTCACATGCCTGGGTCCCATCACCTTCCCAGCAAAACACGACATTTGCAGAATTGTGGAAAACTGCAGAACAGGCAGTGAGGCTGGACTTGAACCCTCACCTGCCGGCCTTCAGTCCAGGACCCCCACCTGAAGAATTTTAGCGGTTAAAGCAAAGGCTGGACAGACAGACAGACAGAGGGTGCTCTGGCAATGCCCGTGTGAACTTGGCAGCTCATTGACCCTCTCTGACCCCATGTGCAAAGTGCAGAACACAGCAGGTGGCAGTGACGTACGACCAACACGGTGTGTGCCAGTGCTCAGCAAGGTGCCCACGTGAGCACCGCAGCCGTGAGGCTGCTCCACGAGGACGAGGCGCCGGTGCCCGGTGCAGGGGGGTAAGCCGCTGCCTACAGTGCCTGCATCCCATGTCGGAGAACTGGTCCCAGTCCTCAGTACTCCGTCTCCGATCCGGCTCCTGGCTTCGGCCTGGCCCAGACCTGGCTGAACGGCTGAGTGGCAGCCGGGCAGGGCAGTGGTCCCGCGGACAGTGGGAAGTGACCGGGGCTGAGGGCTGGAGCGCAGGTGGAGGCTGCCTCACCACAGACATGGTGTCATCCCAGCAGAAGTCACTGCCATTGCTGGGTGAGCCATCCCCTTGTGGGGGACACAGGGGAGGTCACAGGGCTGCAGGAGGCAGACAGGCAGGTGATGACTAAGTGAGGTCGGGATGAGCAAGCAGCAAGCAGTGTCTCAGAAACACGTGGGGAGGGGCCAGTGCTGTGGTGTAGCGGGTAAAGCTGCTGCCTGCAGTGCCAGCATCCCATATGGGCACCAGTTAGGGTCCCAGCTGCTCCGCTTCTGATCCAGCTCTCTGCTATGGCCTGGGAAAGCAGTAGAAGATGGCCCAAGTGCTTGGGCCCTTGAACCCTGGTTCCTGGCTTCGGATCGGTGCAGCTCCGGCTGTTGCGCCCAACGGGGGAGTGAACCAGCTGATAGAAGTCCCCTCTCTCTCTCCCTCTCTCTCCCTCCCCCCCATCTCTCTCTCTCTCTCTCTCTCTGTCTCTCTTCTCTTTGTGTAACTCTTTCAAACAAATAAAAATAAATTTAAAATAAAAAAGTGAGGAGACCCAGTGCTGCTCCCCTCCCCTCCTTCTGCATGGCTTTTCTTACAAAAACTTTATTTGAAGGGCACTGTGACAGAGAAAGAGAGAGAGGAATCTTCCATCTGTCAGCTTGCTCCCCAAATGAATACAACGGCCAGGCAAGAGACAGGAACTCTACCCGAGTCTCCCAGGTAGGTGGCAGGGGCCCAAGCACCTGGACCATCTTCCACTGCTTTCCCAGGCCATTAGCAGGGAGCTGGACTGGAAGCAGAGCAGCCAGGACTTGAACCACCGCTCATGTGGGATGCCGGCATCACAGGCAGCAGCTTAACCCACTGTACCATAGCACTGCTTAACTTAAGCTCAGAGATCAAAAAGCATGGAGTCGCCAGGCTCGGCAGAATGCAGGGGATAACACTTCCCACCGAATCCGGAAACCTACTCCATTCACATCTGCCATAGCTGCTGTGGCACGCGATGAGCCCGAGCAAGGCTGCCCACTGTCCAGGAGACCAATAAATACCCACCGTGTCCAACTGTAGGACAGACAAGTGCCGCGCCAGAGGCTGAGGTGCGGTCTATTCTTTGTTGATTTGTTTGTCTTTATTTGAAAGGCAGAGATGCAGAGATCTCCTGTGTGCTGGTTCAACTCCCCAAATAAATGCCCTAGCAGTGGTGTCTGGGTCAAGTCAAAGCCAGGGGCCTTGACCAGCGCCTTGGCTCACTAGGCTAATCCTCCGCCTTGCGGTGCCGGCACACTGGGTTCTAGTCCCGGTCGGGGCGCCGGATTCTGTCCCGGTTGCCCCTCTTCCAGGCCAGCTCTCTGCTATGGCCCGGGAGTGCAGTGGAGGATGGCCCAAGTGCTTGGGCCCTGCACCCCATGGGAGACCAGGAGAAGTACCTGGCTCCTGCCATCAGATCAGCGCGGTGCGCCAGCCGCAGCACGCCAGCAGTGGCGGCCATTGGAGGGTGAACCAATGGCAAAAGGAAGACCTTTCTCTCTGTCTCTCTTTCTCACTGTCCACTCTGCCTGTCAAAAAAAAAAAAAAAAAAAGCCAGGGGCCTTGAACTCCTCAGGTCTCCCATGTGGGCGGCAGGAACCCACTCTCTGGGGCTGTGACCAGAGTACGTACACAGCAGGACACTGGACTCACTGGACTCAGAAGCAGAGCCAGGACTACAACCCAGGCACTGAGACACGGGACGTGGGTGTTCCCCCGGCACCTCCACCCCTATGTGCTTCCAGGGACGCAGCTGAGTGGCCACAAAGCAGTGCTGGTGGTTAACAAGCTCACCAAGGTGGCACGTGTTCTGCCTGGACCCAAAGGCTGCCCAAGTGTCTGAGAGGCAGGGAGGAGACGGCATACCAGCCAAATAGGGGTGCAGAAGCCAGGAGGCACAAAAGCACAAATCCCAGACGCACAGAAGTGTGGCAAAAATAAAGCACGCGGGGCCAGTGAGAGAGAGACTACGAATCAGCCTCATACCTAGTTATCCACTTGAGAGTGTCAGAGACACAGATGACAGAGAGAGCTCCTATCTGGCTCACTCCTGAGATGCTCACAAGAGCCGGGCCAAAGCCAGAAGCCAAGAATACAATCCAAGGGCCCATCCATCTCCTTGAGCCACCGTCCCTGTCTCCTAGGGCCTGCACTAGCAGGAAGCTGGACCTGGGAATGGAACCCAGGCCCTCAGGTGAGACGTAAGTGTCTTAACTGACTTCTTATCCACAGACCCAACGCCTGCTGCAGAGCTGTCTACACAGCAACCTTACTGAGACACAGTAACTGCGCAGTGAGCCCTGACCAATATGCATACCCGGACAGGGCCAGCACCGTGGGCAGGTGTGTCCCAGGCGGCCACTCAGGGTCCTACCCTTGGAAGGGCTGGGATCTGCAGCCTAGCGTTCTAAGTTCACAGCGTGGAAATTCTTGGTAACTTTATCTCTGAACGTGTGTCTTGAAAGTCAAGTCCGATGGGACACGGAGCATGCTGGGGGAAGGGCTTCTGTCACCGCCCCCACCCCAATCCCCCATCCCTCTGCTCTGGGCAGCCAGGGGCGGCTCCCGGGCCCCAGCAGATTGAGAGTGAAACACAGAAGCAACCTGCCTACCACAGTGCTGGCACCAAGCGCACCCTGGCATGCAGGCTGCAGTCCCCCGGGGTCACGCACCTGCTGTGGATAGGTACCTAGGAAGGGGAGGAAACCCAACACTGGTTAGCAAATAAGAACAGCATGATAGGTTGATAGTGACCACAGAAAAAAGGACGTTTTATAACGAGGGACCTTTGGTGGTGGTTCTTCTCCACCGTTTTCACTTTGAGGGAGCCAGCCCCGCACGTGTGTAACTGCTGCCACTGCTTGCCACGGAGCCCTTGTTCAGCACCCCCAAGTTTTCCTCTTACGCCGTGGCTGGGGGAACCTTTTTTCTGCCGAGGGCCATTTGGATATTTATAACATCATTCACGGGCTAGGCAGAGTGATCAACTTTAAATCAGCCTGCACAAGAGCTCAGGAAAAGCAAGGCTGGGCCAGACTGGGGAGTCATCCCAACAGGGGTTAACCTGGGAGAGCTGACCCAGAGAAGTGGACGCAGGGAGGGTGGGCTGTCCCAGCCAGGGATGAAGAGAGAGATCCACGCAGTCTAGTGAGTGAAAAATGGAGGTCGCGCCCGCAAACTGTGGAGAGGCTGGAAGCAGAACCGCACCCACTGTGCAATCTCCATCCAGGGTGTAGGACACCCAGCCCCCAACCCCGGAGCCGCTTTTACAAACGTCACCCCATGTCAGCCTGAATTCCACCCTCAGACTCCTTAGTCTTGGTTTCCAAAGAAGTCACGCAGTCCCCACGGAGCGCCCCACGGTTTGCAGGGCGCGGGGCCACGCCCGCCCTCTCCCGCGTAGTCGAGGCTACTGAGCGTCCAGTCGCGTCCCGGGCTGGCCCGGTTGCCCGGCAACCGGCAACACCCCCCCCCTCCCTCCCGCGCGCGCGGCCGCCCGGCGTTTGTGCGCCGGCCCCGCCCCAGCAGCGCGCGCGGTCCGTGCGGCGCGTGCGCGTGCGGGGCGCCGGGCTAGCGGGGCGGCTCGAGCAGGCGGCTTTGTGGCTGAAGACCCCCGTGAGCCGGCCCGGCTGCCCCGAGCGCCTTTGCCCCGCCGCGCGGCGCGGGACTCCTGGGAGGCGCGGCGCGACCCCAGCCGGCGGCGGTTCGGCCGGGAGCGTGGAGGAGGCCCGACACACGGCCGAAGCGCGCCCCGGCGCCGCCCCCGGGGGATGTGAAGTTGGGCGTCCGGCGAGTTTCCGGATTGGGATCCGATGCCCCGCTCGCCTCCCCGACTGAGAAGGGAATGACCATGGTAATTAACGCCCGCCTGGTTGGGAAATGCCGAGGCGCTCGCTCCGCCCGGCTAAGCCCGGCTGCCTTCGGAGACGCGCCTTCCCCGGGTCCTCGCCCCTCCCCCGGGCGGGGGTCTGGGCCCCGGAGACGCGGAGACGCGGCGTGTAGACGAGGGGAGGGCAGCCCTGGCCTTGTGCACCTGCCGAAGGAGACGGCGGCAGCCGAAATCGGGCTGAGCCCTCCCTGGGTGAGGGGCTTGGTTTTAGTGCCTTGGGTCCGTGGAGCAGCTCCCACCCCCAGAAACCGTGTCTGAGTGGGCAAGAAAGGAAGTCCAGCAACGAGGGCCCCGGGCCTCGGCGGTTGCTGAGGTCCTGGTCCCCGCGCCGGTTGCTCCGCAGGCCCTGTGAGCCCCGCTGCCACCCTGCGCTGCCCGCTGTGGCAGGCACCCCTGCCCCTTGGCCCTCGTCCGGGGCACGCCTGAACCCCTTGGCCCTTGCTCTGACCTCGCAACCCCTGCCCGGGGTCCTCCTGGAGCCCCTGAGGTCTGCTAAACTTGATCCTTTCTTTTTAAAGATTGATTGATTGATTTGAAAGTCAGAGTTACCCAGCGAAGGGGAGAGAGGTCTTCCATCCGCTGGTTCACTCCCCAATTGGCCACAACGGCCAGAGCTGCACTAATTCGAAGCCAGGAGCTTCTTCCAGGTCTCCCACATGGGTGCAGAGGCCCAAGGACTTGGGCCATCTTCCACTGCTTTCCCTGGCCATAGCAGAGAGCTGGATCGAAGTGCAACAGCTGGGTCTTGAACCAGCCCCCATATGGGATGCCTGTTATATCTTAATGTTAGCCGTCGCAAAGCACACCGGACACCAGAGTAAGGGAAAGGGTTTATTGGGGAACACCCTACAGACCGGAGTGAAGGGGCAGCGAAGGAAAAAGAGAGGAGACTGTAAGAGAGAGACAGAGGAGGAAGAAGAGAGATGAGAGGAGGAGAGAAGCCAAGAGAGGCCGAGAGAGCGCAGGAGAGAAGGACCAAGAGAGCACGTGTGCAGGAACAGGCCCTTTTAAAACTTTGCCGGAGGGCGGGCAGGGAAGCAGGAGCAGCAAATCCCATTAGGATGGGGGTGGAGCCTGGCTCAGGTAGCTGGGCCATGCGGCCACCTGGCTACAACTGGGCCAGTTTCCTAACAATGTCGGCCACTTCTTGATCCCTTCTTAAAGGGACCTTGACCCCAGAGCTTTATCTGCCACGTTATCCTGTCTAAAACCCCCACAACCCACACCCCACACTTCCTCTGTGTCCTGCGCCTGCCCTGTCATCCTGCACCCGTCCCTTCATGATCTGTTAAGAGCTGGCTCAAGAGTGCGGGTGGCTTCTGTTTGGCTCAGGAAGCACCCTTTGCCTGGAAAGCCTTGCTCCCGGCTGTCGTCATTCTGTAGTTGTACAACTGTGTATTGTAGTCTCAGCATTCCTTGCAGTGTGCCAGCGGTATTGTATGCACCATGTAAGTGTCTTTAAAAAAAAAGATTTATTTCAAAGGCTGAGTTAGAGAGAGAGAGAGAGAGAGGTCTTCCATCTGCTGGTTCACTCCCCAGATGGCCGCAAGGGTGGGAGCTGGGCTGACAAGAGCTAAGAGCGTCTTACCGGTCTCCTACGTGGGTGCAGGAGCCCAAGCACTTGGCCATCTTCCTCTGCTTTTCCCAGGCACATTAGCAGGGAGCTGGATGGGGAATGGAGCAGCCAGGACTCAAACCAGTGCCGCAGGCAGCAGCTCCTAAGCCACAGCACTGGCCCGGATGTTGTCTCTTAACTGCAGATGAGAGTGCTCCTGGGTTACCCCGCAGGCTGCTCCTGCTGTCTGCCTTCATTGCCCTGGGTACTGAAGCAGAATGGTTTACGGAGCTCTTTAAGCCAGTGGCTTCCCCTGAGCTATGGAGAGAGGTGACAGACTCGCGCACAGAGCCTGGGAGCCAGAGCCGCACCCTGCCTGCCTTTGACCTGGTCACCGTGGCCTTGTTTGGGTTTTTGGTTCCTTTGACTTTACTGTTCCCTCCAGTCTGAGAGTGCTGTGCCGGGCATGCTGTGCCCTCAGGCCCAGGCTGCTCCAGAAATCCTTCCTAGGTGTCCCAGAGGTCACCCCTGCCCATCCCCTTCACAGAGAGGGTGGGGAGTCACTGTGTGACCCGGGGCTGGTGTCTTTGTCCCCCATTGGACCGTAGCTTCTTGAGGACAGGAACCCACATCCGCTTTGCTTTCCATCACTGTCTCCCCGCAGGTAGGGAGTGTGTTGAATGACGTGCAGAAAAGCAGAAATCCACATTTGCTTTTTTTGGGGGGGTGGGTTTCTGTGGTGTGAAAGGCTGGGCAGATGATCCTGTTTATTGGCAAGGGGCAAGGAGCCAAGTCTGCAAACTCTACACCAACGCTGATGAGCGACAGGGCAGGGGTGGGGAGGAGGGGAGACGGAGGAACACGCTGTGTCATTGTGCCTGAGCTCTGGCTCCTCGTCCCAACACCTGCACCGACGAGGGACAGCCCTCCTTTCTCATGGAGGCTGCAACACAATGGAGACGTGACTCAGTTTACCCGCTCCCACAGGGCAGGTAGGGCGAGAGGCTATGTTCAGGTGGTGCTGGAAGCCCCATGCCAAACACAGAACGGAGGCTGAAACTGGTCCGCGGCTGCTGCTGGCGGCTGAGTCGGCTCCCTAGGGGCTGGGCTTCTCTTGGTTCTCAATGACCAGCTTGTCTGTCGAATACAGTTGACCAATGTGGACCTGTTGAGAAATGATTCCAAGGTCTCTTGGCTTTATTCACTAGGGCTTGGATTTCTACAGGATCCTTTACATTTTTATTTTCTCTGAAGGCATCTCGTATCCTCCTGATAGCATACGTTCTGTAGTTGTAGGCGCTGAAATGCTTGCTCTCTCTCAGCATCGCCCGGTACAGATCTAACACTAGTGCGCGGCTGGAGGTTGCCATTTTCGATTAAAAAAAATACTAATACACGGGTCCTCCAAGCGGAGGTCCCGAGTGGAACCCGAGCCACAAAGCTGCAGCGTGCGCAAGAGCCACGGAGCAAATGCAACGTCACATTTGCTTTTAAATGCTATTCCCGCACCCTATCTGATTTGCCATGATTTCACTCGGTATCCTTGCACTGTGCCAGACATTGGCCTAGGCCCAGGAATTCAGTGGTACACTCAGACAAAACCTCTGCTTAGGGAACAAGCAGTAAACACTCAGAGAGTTGCTGTTAAATCATGAAAAGCGTTTATAGGAAGCAGTCAGAAAGCGGTGCTGGGGACGGGCATTTGGCCAGCCGGTTAAGACACCTGCATCTTGAAGTACCCAAGTTCAATTCCCAGCTCCGCTCCTGACTCCAGACCCCAGCGGTGGCAGCGATGGCTCCAGTGGTTGCATTCTTGCCGCTTACGTGGGAGACCTGGATTGAGTTCCCACTGGCAGATGTTTGGGAAGTGGCCGAGACAACGAGCGCTTCTTGTTTCTCTCTGTGTGTGTCTCAAATGAAAATAATAAAGTGACAACTACTGGGGGTGGGGATCGCCTGCGCCTCCCCAGTCCTGATACGGCCCCCGCCTCCTCTCTGTCTTCCTCTAGTATCTTGCTTTGCACAGTAACTTACGTGGTCATCCTAATTATAGACAGTGTAGACACTGTAGCAAGGAGGTTTTTCCAAAATGGGATTAAAATTTTTGAGAATTTATTTTATTTGTCTGGGAGACAGAAATCTCCTGTTCATTGGTTCACTCCCCATTATGTTGGCAACATCCAGGCTGCAGCCAGGACCTGTGACCTCAGTCTGGCTTCTCCCGTGGGTGGCAGGAACCCCACCAGTGGCGCCATCACATGCAGACTTCCAAGGTGCACCGAGGCAGAAGTCAGACCAAGCGCTGGAGTGTGGAGTGTGAACATCCCAACCAGCGGCCAAATGCTCACACCTCTACTGAGGTGCAGCTTGAGCAGAGCCCAGAGACACAAACAGATCGTGTCCCCTTGATTATGGGACTGTGTCCAGGAGGAGCAAGGGCTGTGCAAGGGGTGTTGGGCCTGAAGGCAGAGGAAGGCCTGCAGCTGGCGCCAGGTGTCTTCCTTGCGGAGCCAGAGGGTTCTAGTGGTGAGCTCTGCACTGGGAACGGGCTTGTCCTGGCCTTGGGAATGCCTGTCCCGTGGCCAGTATAAGGCCATGGAAATCGTTTGTTCTGGCCCCGCTAAGGGCAGGACTCAAAACTCAGTAAGTCTTTAGCAGGCTAATTTTTAAGTTGGTAATATTGTATGGCATGCAAATAGTGTTATAAAAATCCAAATGGGAGCTGGCATTGTGGCACAGTAGGTTGGACCTCTGCCTGTGACGTTGGCATACTGTACGAGTGCTGGCTGGTGTCCCGGCTGCTTCACTTCTGATCCAACTCCCTGCTAATGCACCTGGGAAAGCAGAGGAGAATGACCCAAGTGCTTGGGCCCCTGCACCCATGTGGGAGACCTGGAAGAAGCTCCTGGCTCCTGGTTTCAACCTGGCCCAGCCCGGCCATTGTGGCCATCTTGGGGACCCGGAAGACTCTCTGTCTCTACCTCTCTAACTCTATCAAATAAGTAAACCTTAAAAAAAAAGTGCTATAGTTTTGGAGCTGTGTTTGGGTCTGTGATTGATTTTGAGGTAATTTTTGTGTATGGTAACCATAGATTAAAGTTCTTTTTTTTTTGCAGATGGATACTCACTATTGCAGCACCATATGTTGAAAAGATTATCCTTGCTCCACCACATTGCTTTGGCATATTGATTGAAAATCAGTTCTTACATGTGTGGATCTGTTTCTGAATTCTTTATTGTATTCTGTTGATCTGTTTATCTGGACACCACCACTATGCCATCTTTATCGTGCAGCTTTGTAATAATTGTTAAAAAAATCACATCAGTCCTCCAGCTTTGTTCTTCAAAGTCCTTTGTAGTTACATATGAATTTTACAGTTTGCCAATTTCTTCCTTTTTTTAAGATTTATTTTTATTTGAGAAGCAGAGAGAGGGAGGGAGAGAGATAAGAGAGCGATCTGCCGTCTGCTGGTTATTGCCCAAATGGCCACAGCAGCCAGGGCTGGCCAGGCCAAAGCAGGAGCCTGGAGCTTCTTTAGGTTCTCCCACGTGCACATGGGTGGCCCAAGCACTTGGGCCATCTGCTGCTGCCTTCCCAGGTGCATTAGCAGGGAGCTGGATCAGAAGTGGAGCAGCCAGGACTTGAACCAGCACCCACGTGGGATGCCAGCACTGCAGGCAGTAATTTTACTCACTATGCCACAATGCTGGCCCCTGTTTGCCAATTTCTACCAAAAGATGAGAACTTTGAATGAAAATGTCAAACTTTTATGTGAATTTTAGTTTTTAAGGGTTTTAGAAATCACAGCACATGTGTACGTGTACACACACATTTTCTTGCAGTTATTACAGTTAAGTCGAGTGTGGCTGCCAGCCAGAAAAGGATGACGTCACAAAAAGCCAGGGGCCAGAATGCTTAGGAGCCGGCGGCCTAGCGCAGCCCACACGGCCAGGCTGGTCCTTCAGGACAGGGCAGCTGCGGGCCTGCACATCACCTTCATTCCCTCCTCTCAGCTTGCAGACTTGTGTTTTGATGTTGGTAATGCATTACTTTTCTGTTTGTGCAGCTTGGGCTGCTTTTGAAGTGAAGTGCGAGCAGCACCTCTGTTTTATGCAAATGTCGGCCTTGATCGATGCTACGTGCCCTTCCCTTGCCTGGAGGAGCCACTGCGGACTTACCGACGCGCTGCCATCCGGCCTTTTCTGTATGTGAGCTCGAAGGTCATGGAGAAGTTCCGCTGTTTCCTGGAGTTCGGATAGGATCCGCCGCTCCTCCCAAGGACACTGCCCAGCAGTGTGTCGTGGCGAGCGCAGGACCTGGCTGCGCCCGCGGACCTCAGACCCCGCTCGCACTTGGTGGCTGGCCTCGCTGAGCCTCTGCTTTTCCATTTTAGAGAGGACCTCTTACCTCCCGCCCTAGGTGCAGCTCCGAGGCTTGGAGGTGACGAGAATGATGGCAGTAGTCGCTGAGTGCTTGCTCTTGTCAGTCGCTGTGCTTAGTGTCTTGTTCACGTGCCACAGAACGTCATCGCGGGGGCAGAAGCGGTGCAGCGTTTAAGACGCCGCTTGCGATGCTGGCGTGCCACGTTGCCAAGCCGTGTCACATCCCGCCTGCTCTGCTGCCAGTCCAGCTGCCTGCTCGTGTGCCTGGGAAGGCGGCAGAGGAGGCTCCTACCACCCACGTGGGAGACCCAGAAAGAGTTTCTGGCTCCCAGCTTTGTCCTGGCCCGGCCCCAGCTGTTGGCGGTCATTTAGGGATTGAACCAGCAGATGGATGGTCTGTGTCTCTCTCTGTGTGTGCCTTTCAAATAAGTAAATAACTCTTAAAGAAACAAAATTCATGACAGGGCAGGTGTTTGACATGGCACTGGAGATGCTAGTGGGATGCCCACGTCCCTTATGGGAGTGCTTGAGTTCAGCTGCTGATGCCAGGTTCCTGCTAGTAGTGCTCCAGTAGCCGGGTCCCTGCCAGCCAAGACTGAACTCCTGGCTCCTGACTGTGGCCTGACCGGACGCTAGCTGTGTGGGCGTTTCGGGAGCCAACCAGCAGATGGGAGCTCTCTGTCTCTGTCTTTCAAAAGAAAAAACTTCCTGACTGCTTAATGAGGTAGAGGCTACTGCATAACAGGTGCCCAAATATATATGTATATGCATTTACCTCCTGATTACCTCATTTGTTTCCAAGATGATTTTATTATGAAAATTTCCAAACATACCCAAAAGTGGAATAATGAATGAATCCCCATGCTTCGTTTCTCTCAGAAATCAGCCAGCTTTTGCTGCATCGGGTCATCTACCCTTTATTAGGGTGGGGAGGCTGCAGTATTTTAACAAATCCCGAGTTTTCAGTTCAGCTATTTCAGCAGCACAATATTTAGTTCAGAGTGGTGTGTTTATTATGCTTCAGTCTTCCCAGGTGCCCTGCACAGGATGATGGGACAGAAAGGGCTACCGCAAACCTCGGGCCGCCTTCCACTTCATTCCTACAGATGTCACCGTGCACCACAGAGGCACCGGCACGTTCGCTTCCGTGACCCAATGCCATGTTAAGATCAAGCAATAATTTTTATTATCAGATTTCCCTGATTGCTCAAAAATGTTTTTTTGTAGCTTATTCAAACCAGAATGCAAAGACCACACATGGAGTTAAGATGAGTCTTTCTTAATCTTACTAAACATTTGTCACTTTATTTTTTTTTAAGATTAATTTATTTGAAAGAGTTACAGAGGGGCAGAGAGAGAGAAAGAGAGAGGTCTTCCATCCGATGGTTCACTTCCCAAATGGCTGCAGTGGCCGGAGCTTGGCCAATCTGAAGCCAGGAGCCAGGAGCTTCTTCCAGGTCTCCATGCGAGTTCAGGGGCCCAAGGACTTGGGCCATCTTCTACTGCTTTCCCAGGCCGTAGCAGAGAGCTGGATTGGAAGTGGCACAGCCGGGACTCGCACCGGCGCCCATATGGGATGCCGGCACTGCAGGCAGTGGTTTTACCCGCTACACCACAGCGCTAACCCCTGTCGCTTTATATTGTATGTGACATCTCCCATTTCATGACAGTTTTTTCATTGTTCCTATTCTGATTTATTTGAGGATTATTTCTTATTTTTAGAAGTTTATTTGCCAGCAAGAGCGAGATAGATGGACAGAGACCTTCCATCCACTGGTTCATCACCCAGATGCTTGCCACACTGGGTCAGGGCTAGGCCAAAACCAGGAGCTCAGAACTCCATGCAGGTCTCCTAGTTGGGCGGCAGGGACCCAACTACTCGGCCATCACCCACTGCCTCCCAGGGTGCACATCAGCAGGCAGCTGGAACGGGAAGCGGGGCTGGAACTGGAACGCAGGCTGTCCAATGTGGGATGTGGCCGTCACATGCAGTGTCTTAACTGCTGTGCCAGGCGCCCACCCCAGGAGTTTTGCTTCTAAAGTTCAATAAGGGAAGTGTTGGAAGTAATGCCAGAGTTCTGGAAACTAATCCTGCCCCTCCCCATGTTTATACTTGTCTCTGAAAGCCAGGTAAAGGGAAGAAAGAGAAAGGCCGGGGCAGGTCTCGAGGGAAGAAGCAGAAGAAGCCCGAAGTGGACATCCTCAGCCCCGCCGCCATGTTGAACCTGTACTACATCGCGCACAACGTCGCCGACTGCCTGCACCTGCGAGGCTTCCGCTGGCCAGGTGCTCCCAAAGGGAAGAAGAAGATGTAAGTGACAGAGCTCGCGGCTCGTGCCTGCTGCAGAGAGCAGGACGTGGGCACGAGGAGGCGGGACGTTCCAATGACTGCAAGCAGAACAGACTTTGCTGAAGACGACTTGAAATGCCAGCCAAGCACTCTGCGGTAGGAATGACCTCTCAGCTGACCTGGTGTGGTTAGTCATGGCGCTTCAGAAGCTAAGGGGGAAGAGAGTCTGAAAAACAGTCCTGCATAGTGTAGTGCAATTGGCAGTACTTTAAAACATTATTATCGTAATTTTGGGTGAGAATTAAACCTTGCTCGCAAAAGACAGGAGTTCTAGTTTGCGTGAGTTTTTTTCCTTTTGTCAAGGAGGTTTGTTATTTAGAGAAGATAATGCAAAAAGCCCGAGATTGCTTATCAACATCCCTCTCTCGGGCACTCTGGTTTTCCTCTTGTAAAAGTATTTTGGGGCCTGTGCCGCGGCTCACTAGGCTAATCCTCCGCCTGCGGCGCCGGCACACCGGGTTCTAGTCCCGGTCGGGGCGCCAGATTCTGTCCCGGTTGCCCCTCTTCCAGGCCAGCTCTCTGCTGTGGCCAGGGAGTGCAGTGGAGGATGGCCCAAGTCCTTGGGCCCTGCACCCCATGGGAGACCAGGAGAAGCACCTGGCTCCTGCCATCGGATCAGCGCGGTGCACCTGCCGCAGCATGCCAGCCATGGTGGCCATTGGAGGGTGAACCAACAGCAAAGGAAGACCTTTCTGTCTCTCTCTCTCACTGTCTACTCTGCCTGTCAAAAAAAATAAAAAGGTATTTTGGCAGGAGTGGGCAGCACTGTGACGCAGCAGGTTAAGCTGCCACTTGGGATGTCCGCGTCCCATATTGGAGTGCCGGTCTGAGTCCTGAGTCCTGAGTCCTGACTGGTTCCTTCAGGTCAGCAGCTGAGAATTGTGCTTGGGCCCTTGACGCCCACAGAGGAGACCCAGATAGAGTCCTTGGTCGCTGGCTTTGGCCTGGCCCAGCCCCGGCTGTTGCAAGCATTGAAAAAGTAAGCCAGCGGGTGGAAGGTCTCTCTTGCTCTCACTCTTGCTTTGCCTTTCAAGTAGATGAAAATAAATAAACATTAGCAGTATTTGGGGGGTAGTGGGCATTTGGCCCAGCCATTAAGATGTGACTTCTGAGGGCTGGCATTGTGGTGTGGTGGATGGCCACTGCCATCCGTGCCAGCATCCCATGGAGGCACAGGTTCAAGTCCCAGCAGCTCCACTTCTGATCCGGTTCCCTGCTAATGCACCTGGGAGAGCAGTGGAGGATGACCCAAGTGCTCGGGTCCCTGCACACACGTGGGAGACCTGGAAGAAGCTCCCAGCTCCTGGCTCCGGCCTGGCCCAGCCCTGGCCATTGTGGCCATTTGGGGAGTGAACCAGTGGACAGAAGTCTTCTCCCTCTCCTCTCTGTAACTTTGCCTTTCAAAAAAAGATGTGACTGTGACTCCACATCTCATGGTGGAGGCCCTGGGCTCAAGCCCAGGCTCTGCTCCCCATGCCAGCTTCCTGCTAATGGCACCCTGGGATTCAGCAGGCGATGGCTCAAGTCGTCGAGTCCTTGCCACCCACACGGTGGCAGACCTGGATGGAGCTCCTGGCTCCTGGCTTTTCCCTGGCCCGGCCCTGGCTATTGTGGGCATTTGGAGAGTGAACCAGCAGATAGGAGATTGATCTTGTCTCTCTCTCACTAAAATAAATAAAAATTTTAAAAAGAATAGCTATTTTGTGTCTGTAAGTTTCTTAGCGGTCTGACTCTGACCTGGGTTTTCCCTGGACTCCCATGGGCTGGGCCAGCTCCACTGCACTGACCTTGCCGGGGTTGCACACCGGTGGCGAGAGCTGGCCCACAGCAGGCAGTGTTGGGGTGCAGAGCGCAGGCCGGCACCCGCCCCCTCCTTCCCACCATGCTCGGTCCCGCTGTTTGTCCACACTGAGATTTCTTCCCGCCTTCTGCCGACTTCCTTTCTGTGGGGAGCAATCCGGACTAGACTGTTACTCGAATTAGGACTTATTCTATGCATCTGCTCTCCCACAATATGGCGCTGGGAGAGAAGTAAACAGCTTCCGCACAGCTGCCTCCAGTTCAACCAATTAACTGTAGGACTTGCTCCTGATTGGAGGAGAGCGGCGTGCTCGGCGTGTGGGCAGCCGAGTTGGGATTGGTGGAGAGGACTATATAGGAGGAGAGAGACGGCATGCACCAGGAACATCTATGGGGAACATCTAAGGGAACCCGTGCAGCCCCCGAGAGAACCGGCCGGTGGTGTGCCGCTCCCCTGCGGAAGTGGGGAATGCGGCCAGGGGGAACTGCCCTTCCACGGAGGTGGAGGGGATAGTAGCCAACCCGGGAAGAACCAGCAGCAAACCCGGGGAGGGCCGAGCAGACGAAAGAACAGCGCAGGGTTCAGTGTCGTTCCTCCACGAAGAGGGGGAGCGACATAATGGTGCCGTGACTCGGATAGGAAACCTAGAACGGATAGCAAACTTAGGAGGGAAGAAACGGGAAGAATTGGGAAAATATCGGAGAGAGAGACTAGCAAACAGCCTAGGGAAAATACCGGAGAGAGAGACTAGCAAACAGCCTAGGGAAAAGCCGGACGAAAAGGGTGCCGGAAGAAGCTATTGAAAGCCTAGGCATAGACTCGGATACGGACTACGGGGGGAAGCTGGGAGGAATCTCTAAGGTCGAAAGCGAAAGTGAAAGCTAGAACAAACAGACTCGGACGCGGACTGTGGGGAGAGGCCAGGAGAAATGAGGGAGGAATATCGTTGGAGGAAAGCTTGGGGAAACATACCGGGTAGAGAAAAATGTTAGGGAAATTGAAGCCGCGGGGGGCAGGCCAAGGCGGAAACGAAAGCCACTTTGGGATTCTCAAGTTAGCCCGGGAATAGGGGGCGAAAAGTTGAAACCAGAAGCTGAGACGTAAGCCAGATTGGGATCCGTCTGATTAGCCCGGG